CTGCATTTAAAATTTGAAAAAATATTAATATGTTCACACTTGTGCTATGATCTATTTTATATCTTATTTGTGATTTTATTCATTTTATAATTGAACTCGTTTGTACTTGTATTGTCTAGGTATAAGTATCATGGAAGTCACTGTTATTGCACAAACTTGATAACATAAATTATAAGTTATCTGTTGAATGTGTTTCTACTGATCTTTTAACCTCACGTGATCATACTTATAACTTCAACATTTTTTATGTATATTTTTTTCGTATGAATAAAAATACTTTATTTTTATTATCAAAATTAATAAATCGGAATTTTTCTATTTAAATAAAATTTACATTTATATTAATTAATTGTTTTCATATATATTATGTAATTTTTTTTTAAAATAATTTACACTAATTAATCTCTTTTTATATAGATAATACAATTATTTAAAATACAAAATTTATTCTTATATATATTATTTATTATACATTGATATATTATTAAATTGATTATCAAATTAAAATCAACAATTATAAAATATACTTATAAAATATATCTATATATTTTTATATCACTATATTCAATTCGTAACAGTTTGAATTGTATGATGATGAAATATATGCTCTACGATAAGAGTTATTGATAAATTAATTATTGATATATGCTATTTCATAAAAATATTTTAATTCATTTAAATCACGCGTTTCATTTATATGAAACTCTACCAGGAAACTTTTCGTATTTACTTATATTAGTCAAGATTGATACGTTCAAGTGCACGATAAAAATTTATTAAGGTTAAGCTCTTCGATTGTTTTAAAATTGAAAAATATAACTCAATATGGCAAAAGTAATAGCACAAATGACAAAATGTACTGCGAGAACATTTCCATGTACTTCGAGAAAAAGCTTATTTAATATTTCTGCTATAAAAATATCGTTACATGTTTCACGTTCCATCACTAATACCCGTTGTTTAAATATCGGTAAGTTTCTTTTATCAAACATTTGATAAAAAGTATTTTATAATATTTATTATTATATTATATTTTTAATATATACAAACAAAATATAATAATATATATTTAATAGTAATATATTTATTAATATTATATATAATTAAATTTAAATTTAAAATCATTAAAATTGAAATATTTTTAATTTGTAATAAAATATTATTAATATTTTGTATAAACAAAATTTGTAGAAAGATTATACACGGAAAAACACGAGTGGATAACAATTAATGGTAATGTAGGTATAATTGGAATATCCAATTATGCACAAGAAGCATTGGGAGATGTTGTTTATGCTCAGCTTCCAGATATTGGATCTGAAATAAAAAAAGAAGGTCAGAAAATTCTAAAAAAAAGTTTAATTTTTTAAAATAAAAATTAAACTCGAATGTCTAATAAAAATTAATTTATTTACAGCTGAATGTGGAGCTTTAGAATCAGTGAAAGCTGCTTCTGAATTATTTAGTCCTGTAAGTGGAAAGGTAGTAGAAAAGAATGAAGCAGTTGAAAAAACACCTAGTTTAATTAATACTTCTTGTTATGAAAAAGGATGGTTATTTAAAGTAGAATTAAGTAAACCTGACGAACTAAAAAGTCTGATGAATGAGGAAGCATATAATCTATATTTAAAATCTGATCCATCATAAATATAATATATTTTCTATACATATATGAAAATAATTAGTAATGACTTAATTTTTATCATTTTCAATTGTTTATCATTAATAAAAAAAGTGTGAACATTCTTATTTATTTTAAATCTTATAATAATCATGCATGATTATATGTTTTAGTAGTTTAACATTATATTAGTCAAATGTGAAATAAGTACAATTTACAGTTGTTTAACTAAGTAAAAAAAAAAAATAGTGCCTTTATGAAAATAAATTTATAAATTATATTATTATAACAATTCAATATATTGTATTTCTGATTTTGTATCTTCAAATATAAAAAAAATAATTTGTTTTAAATTTTATTTTATATTGTAATAAGGCACAATTTTATATATAAGATTAGGCAATATGATTAATAAATTTAATATAAAAATGTAAACATTATGAATTAAAAATATGAAGATGTGTGCAGTAGTTAGCTGATGTCTTTATTAACCACTGTGCATTTTCTTATGTTGTTATCATATTTGTACAAAGCAAACAAATGTTTTAATATACATGTTATTCGGTATACGAATGACACCATTGTTACAAATTATAATAAACTTTGTGTTGTACATAAACGCATTTAAATTATAATAACTTGTATGTATAAAGAAATAATTGAATGTTTTGAAATACTATTTGTAAATTTCTGAAAATTGTCTGCTTAATAATTTATAGTACCATCCTTTACCCTCCTTTTAAAAACTATTGTACATCTTGTGGTCATTGCACATATTTTTATACAATAATACCAAAAACAGGAGTGCGATAAGGGAAATATTTTCATTTAATAGGAGTTCAATTAGTATAATATATAAAAATAGCGCTGTCAATCCTAAAAAGGAACAGTTATCAGTTAATAATAAAGATATATTTACAATTAATCATTTCTTTTCTACATAATTTACAATTGCCAACTCCTAATGGCAGTGTTACAACAACGCATAATAGTTTATCGTTTAATGTTAATTCCAATTATTTGTTGGATCAAAAAATCACATCGATATTAAATTAGATCGTTCGCCAATTATAATTGGTAACTGTACATATTTAACACAATTCTTATAACACCATTGTTATTATTATGTATATTTCCTAATTACAATTATTAATAAACACTTTATAACAGAATCGAGCGGACGATTAAATAGGATGGATACATACAAAGATTATCGTTTAAAGACATATATTTAGAAGAGACAATTTTCATTTTTGAGATATTTTGTTTACGATTTCTGTAAGTTGTTCCAAAATTATCAGACCGACACGTTCTACAAGAAGTCTTGAATAAAGATTTGAATAAAAATATAATAAATAAAATATTAATTGATTTTACCCAAACAACAACACAATATAAATAGGAATTTTAAAGACTTCATTGATAATTATTAAATTTTGATCGCATATATCGTATAGAAATATAATCTAATTTGGAATAAACACAATAATAATTAAAATAATTAACATGGAAATATAATGGGTACAATACTTGAATAGAACCTTTATATTATGTCCATACGCATATTATAGAAATTGTAGAGTTTAAGTCTACATAGGTAACATTCATATATTTTATTTAATTTGCTATCTGGGTGTCTATTCTGAGGTATGTGGTTTACTAAAAATGTAAAGGTGTAAGACTTAATACAGTTACAAAGAGGTAGACATTTATATGCGAGTTAAATAAAGTTAATCCATTAAAAAGTTAATAACAATGTAAAGTATCTTTTCAATTGATCAATCAATTAAAAGAACCAGACGATTTGAAAATTTGGGAACATGTCAATATATGATTTGCATTTATATCGAAGATTTTAAAAATTTTACCATGGACATAAATCTTTACTCACACGATAAGTACATGCAAGCTTTCGAAAAAATNTATATATATATATATATATATATATATATATGTATATATATATATATATATATAATATATATATATAATATATATATATATA